TTTGCGAGAGAACGCAAAAAAAATTTCCTCCCACCCCGAATTTTTTTTCCACCACCATGTCCCTTTAGGGGCTCCGTATGAACACATGAAAAGATGTAACATTCCTGCAGATATCTAAAAAGGAGCCCAAGACACACTTCAAGCACTTTCAGACATTTAGTCTGGATAGATTACCCCTTCTGTATAGAGATATATCAAACTCAAATTTAAATGGGGGGGGTCTTCCGTTTATGTCTTTTCTTTACACTAGTGCTACACAAGACAGGATCTCATTCTGGATATCAGCACTTGTATATTTTGCATTACCAGCTGCATTCATTTTCTTCATGTTAGGATTATGTTTTGCAATCAGCTCCAATATACCTAAAAAGTTCCCTTTCCTGTCTGATTCCATTGTTTCATTGTGCCCTCTTTGGCCAATATTTTGGGTTGCAGTGTAACCAAGACCTATCAGTATGTACTTTTAATAATGTTAAATTTAATATTTAAAAAAATAAAATAGGTTTAATATTTATGAATTAAATTATAAACGTGTCTATTTCGTTGGGAGTGCAGTGTGCTTCTGCGCTTTATAAGCTATTTGATTGATTCTGTCGCACTGGTGTGGACAGACAAATTGCTTGTCACTGTTCCAATGGTTAGGACATGGTGTAAAATGTAGCCTAGCCTAGGCTACATATATAGGCTATAATGTCAAAATCAGAGTATAATTATATTTCCACATTAATTGCAGGCTTGTCTAGTACAAATATGTGTTGTTTTAATTATTACAATGTACTATATTTTTTCTTTATTTACCCCCAAAAGTGTGTAAATGTTTAAACCATGTCTGTTACAACTAACCCGTGTTAAGTTTGTGCCCCGCGCACTCCTTGCTGTCCGTGTCATTATTGTTAAAGAACAAAGAAAAAAAAACACTCAAATCAGTCAGTGTTAAGTCAGGTGTGCTCGAAAACGTACGGAGCCGTCTGCTCTCTAATCGCTCTGGCGGTACGTTCTGCGCAGCGCCTGTTGTCAGGTTTGCATAGGGGTGGCCAGAGGGGTGGCACTGGCCACCCATGGTCACCACGTAGCTACGCCCTTGTGGAGTACGCTTGCCATATCTGTCTGCTCAAGCACGAGAAGGCGGAAAGCAGACAATATGTGCTTATAAACTATTCACGTCTTGTAAATTTAAGCTGAAAAGGTATTATCTTATAAGGTATACATAAGGTATGTGTAAATCAAATAATTTAATAACGTTTTAATATTGAGTCAGTAAATGTGATCGAAATATAAGTAATTTGTTAACTTATATTTCCTGAGATCAGTATTAAGCAGTAATGCTTCGCTGCTTTTAGCCAACATCCAGTTTCCATGGCAACTTTGGAACTACAACAAGAAGTGTCACTTGATTACGTAATAGAACAGGTATGCTGCTGACAATCCGAGCGGTGGTTTAGAGAGTCACAGAGCAGAAACGCGAGTAATACAAACTATAGAAACACCGTCTACTGACGCCAGTTCATATCTATATTCATCGTGTGAGATACGTACATTTTATAGGCACAACCTGTACAGACAAAGAGGCACGCAAGTGTACCAGACACTGTTTGACAAGTTTCTCACAGTACCCGTTACTGTACATCATGTCCACAGAAAAGATGAAGAGCTGGGATTTGAAAGGATCTGAAGATCTGACTGAGCCAGCAGGAAGCAGCAGTGCTTCTCCTGCAACCACTGAGAAGACCAGCCCAACAGGTTAATGTCAACAAAGCATTTGAGATACAGATTGCAATGAGATTTAAATAGAAATGTGGACTTTGTTACTTAGCTCTGCATCAATACATTGTGCGGTTATATTGCCATTATGCAATATATTTGCATGCCATTCTGATAAGAAGGATAGTATTTGAATGAACTATTAATTTCCCAAACCTAATCCATATCCATATGAGTTAAATGCAACAACTGCATATTGATCCTGTTAAAGTCAAGCAGCATAAAATTAGGCGAATTTTACAAGATGGACTAATTGTTAACGTTTAATCTGTGGTTAGAGATGTTCAAAATAGCTTATTATTTATTTGTTTGTTTGTTTTTTCTTCTTTTATCAGAAAATACCAAAGAAAGAGTACGAAAGAGCAACAAAATCTTTGCATTCTTCCAAAGAAGATGGAAGGCTGTAAAAAAAAAAAACTTCCAGAAAAACAGTGGAGCCCATCGGGGTCTCAGCACAGCCTGATCCAGAGCCATCATGTGACCCAAGTCCAAGCAGTCCTGAATCTGGACCTCAAGTGCATCTGGTTGATGTGGAACAATTGTGTGCCCTAGGTCTAATCTGTCCTAAAACAGAACACCAAGTGAAAACGTCTCAGGTTACTTATGTAACCATGGTTCCCTGCAGGTCTTGCCTACCTCCCTTTGACCCACGATTCTTCTTACCCCCACCCGCAGGCGGGGTGGGAGCGCGAGTCGTAACACTAGCCTTCTGTGCTCGTCTCTGATCCTCAAACCGAGACGGGCCAGGTCCCCTAGGTTGTTCGGGCTCAGACCTGGACCTTCGTGGAATGAAGGATTTGAAGGCTTTGAAGGCTGCTGAGCGGGCCTTCGCCTCCCTGAACTTCCTATACTATAGTTGCACCGGTAGTGACGTCATGGCTGTCGCCGGCCAACGTGTTGTTGGTGTTTTTTCAATGTATGCTTCAGACACGGGTCACGACGAGGCGTTCCCCATAGCGACCCCTAGAGGACGCAGTTCGAAGTTCCCATGAAAGGGAACAGAGCATATCCCTCAAAGCGCGACACAACTTCAGGATCGCCTGGAGCAATGTTCATTTGACTGGACACCTGTCACTGAGGTCTGGTGCAATGTCTTCATTGGAAACGAGTAAGTCTGCAATACACTGACTGCCACATATATGACATATAAATATCGAACCTTTTGATGGAGTAATAATGTAATGCAGCAGTATGAACAAGAATCACACACAAAGCAGTTATATTTCTCTCACCATCAGAGGTGTTTTATAATTTTCCATTGTACATCTTTATTAAAGGACTGGGGTGTGCTCAATCAGCTTCCTCATCTCAAAATCCTTCCAGCACTCTGGAATTTTCACTCCTTAAAAATGCCACAATGCACTACAAAAACCAAAGAGCAGAGCCAGCCTTTGACTGAAATTCTATCACTTTTATAAAGCACGAAACATAAATTGAACAAGCCAACTTAATAAACATCATGAAATAAGATAGAAGATTTAAAAAGACAAACCGTTATTTTGAAAAAAAGTCAGTCAGTCGCTCCTCCACTCTTGTTCTGGCATACCTAATGATCCACCATAATATGATGGTGGAGGATGCCATTAACCATGTCACAGATGTGAGATGGATTGGGCTCAAGAATCACACACAAAGCAGTTATATTTCTCTCACCATCAGAGGTGTTTTATAATTTTCCATTGTACATCTTTATTAAAGGACTGGGGTGTGCTCAATCAGCTTCCTCATCTCAAAATCCTTCCAGCACTCTGGAATTTTCACTCCTTAAAAATGCCACAATGCACTACAAAAACCAAAGAGCAGAGCCAGCCTTTGACTGAAATTCTATCACTTTTATAAAGCACGAAACATAAACTGAACAAGCCAACTTAATAAACATCATGAAATAAGATAGAAGATTTAAAAAGACAAACCGTTATTTTAAAAAAAAGTCAGTCAGTCGCTCCTCCACTCTTGTTCTGGCATACCTAATGATCCACCATAATATGATGGTGGAGGATGCCATTAACCATGTCACAGATGTGAGATGGATTGGGCCTTTGACCACCGTCTCAATGGAGGTACCAAAAAGTTCAGAGGGCGAAACCGGGGCATCAAGAAGAAAGTCCCTTTCTTTCCTCCCGATGTCTGCAAGGTTCACCCACAGATGCCTCTCCGTCACCTGCACGAAACATAAACTGAACAAGCCAACTTAATAAACATCATGAAATAAGATAGAAGATTTAAAAAGACAAACCGTTATTTTGAAAAAAAGTCAGTCAGTCGCTCCTCCACTCTTGTTCTGGCATACCTAATGATCCACCATAATATGATGGTGGAGGATGCCATTAACCATGTCACAGATGTGAGATGGATTGGGCCCAACATGGGCTTTTTGAATCAGCTGACAGTCCTCAATTCAGACCTCGTAAGGCAGCGAAAACTACAACTAAGAAAGGATTTAGACATATACAAGAAAAAACAAAGTGAAGCCAGTTCCAAAGCCATCGTGTCTCCCAGGTCCAGAAGAATAACCTCAAGGGAAAACAGAGCTTCAAAACATGATCCAACTGAAGCAATGCTTAGAAAAATGTGCACTGGACTGGACACCTGTCACTGAGGTCTGTCCCAATGTCTTCATAGGAAATGAGTAAGTCTGCAACACATTGACTGTCACATAAATGACCATAAATTATTGCAAACCATGTAATAAAACAATAATGTATTGCATCAGTATGAACAGGAATCAAACATAATGCAGTTATATAATTCTACATTTAAATCCTCTTTAGTGAAAGACTAATCTAGGCTGTTGTGTTCTTATGCAGAGAGACAGCAATGGACCGAGCTAGACTAAAGGAGATGGGTATTACCCACATCCTGAACACTGTAGCTGTGAAGAAAAAATGCAGGGTCTTGTTAGGAATACCAAGAAAGGAAGACCTATTAGGAAAGGCCAATATAGGGGTGAAATATTACAAAGGCATGAACATCAGTTACTATGGTGTGACTGTAACGGATGACCACTTGTTTGACATCAGCAAATACTTCTACCAAGCTGCAAAATTCATCCACAAGGCCCGGAGTAACACAGAGAGTAAGAGCCGATGCACGCACACACACACACACACACTATTTATTATCATTTATCATCTATTGTTTGTCCTGTAGTGTCAAACTGTCAAGCACTGAGTTTGTTTTGTCTTTCTTTTTTCTTAGGTAAGGTGTTGGTGCACTGCTTAGATGGTGTCAGAAGATCTTCCACTCTTGTTCTGGCATATCTGATGATTCACCATGACATGATGATGGAGGATGCCATGGACCATGTCATAAAGGTGAGACGCATCAGGCCCAACATGGGCTTCTTGAAGCAGCTAACAATACTCAATTCAAAGCTTTTGAGTCAGAGAAAACTACAGTTTAATAATAGACAGACAGATAAAAACCACAGATAAATAAATTCAACGAGCAAAATAAAAAACATTATTATTTAACAATTACATATGCTTAAAAGCTTTGCACAGAAATTTCAATAAAAATGAATACTAAAATATTACATTTTGCCTAAATTATATAAAAATGAGCTTTATTTCTTGAACTGTTTGTTAGAACACTTTCTCTTTTTTGGTTTAAATTTTTTTTCAATTATAGATAAAAAGAAGAAGGGATCTTAAATCTACCTCTTCAGGTCCATAAGCAGTAATTTCTTTAAAAAAACAAAATAAAACAGCAGCTAATGTACATGCAGAAAAGCTAAAATGAGACATTTGGGGGCTTTATAATATTTACTTTATTTAACGCTTTTGTTAGCTAACTTAGGGAGTCCATTAGAGAACAATTGTGATTCTTATATCCCAGCTACTTAAAGGGTTAGTTCACCCAAAAATGAAAATTGGCTTGTGTTTTACTCACCCTCGAGTGATATAAAAGTGTTTATTACGTTTGAAATATGGATATTTTTCTTACATTCACTACAGAAGGCCTTTATTCACCCCCTGGAGCCGTGTGAAGCACGTTTTATTATGAATGC